ACAGCAGGGCGCTCCCCAGCATGCCCGCGACCTGTGGGCGACGGCAGACGCCCCTACTGGCTCTCGTATCCCCGGGAATTTAATCTCGCAGAGGCGGGACTCTTTCGCCAGGACTGCCACTGACTTTGTAATCCGGGTACAGCTAAGTCCCCTGCTTTCCTCGGACGTGCAGATTTTTTTCCTGGGTGGTGAAAAGACCTTCGATTCTACACTGCGAGGTCTGATCCTTTTGTTTTTACTGACTTGCCGCTCTCAGTACAACGCACTGAAATTAAAGCGTTTTCAAGCTATAGAAAAGCCAAGACTTTAAAATCTTTGCATAGCGAGAACTCACTGAATCCTCATTGTCACATTCAAGCTCCAGATGTCGCAGGGCAGCGCCCCTGAGAAACAGCTCAGCCTTGGACTTTATACCTTACCCGGCGGCGGCTACAACCAAGTTACCAAGGGCGCAGCACCGTGTAGCACAGCCGCCGCCTGGTTGCTTCTGTCACAACCGAGCTCTATCTGCAGTGCCACCTACTCCGCTAAAGCAACAAACGCCCCCCAACAGTGAATACCCTCAGCTGGCCCCCCGCGAACAGGGAACGATGCCAGCGCTTTATTTGAATCAGTTCGCTTAATTCTTCCCTAACCCGGGGAGGCAGATACTATTATCCCCAGAGAATGAAGCAGCTAAGGCGTGGAAAGTTTAAGTAACTGAACCAGGGTCACGGAGCTAGATTTTGAGAATAATATCTCTGACTGAACCATAAACAAGAAGCTATCATTTCTAAGATGTTTAAAAAATTAATACTCGTGGCATTGAATCATCTGTGAAATACAGTAATACTAATCTGCCAAAACAGTGTTTCTCAAGTGTAATTTTACACAAATCGTTTCTTGTAGCTGAATGTTCTTTCTTATGCACGCACGGACTAACCAAGCCCTCTAGTTGCCCGTATTAATTTTAAAAATATTTGGCCTTACCTGAAATGGTCCTGCACCCCGAAGCGACTGAAAGGCTTAGAGCTCGCCTGTGATTCTGCACTTTGCAGAGGAAAAGGGCGGCATCCCTGCATCCTCAGGATAAAGACTTCAACAGAGTAAGTCACGGAAAGGGCCCTATCTCAGAGGGCACATCCTGGGGTTTGATGACAAGGACTTTGAAACTGGAAAACCATATATAACATAAATCCTACTGTCAGAGCTGAGTGGTAAGAGCAGGAGGGAGAGAAGTTTCTCCATAAATGGCAGGATATAACTCTGTGATGCTAGAGAGGCTTAGTGACCCAGTTGGACCTGCGGAGCAGCCACACCCCTAGGTGGCCAGGCTTCCTGGGGGGCTTCCTGTTCATGCCACACTGTCCAGTTCTCTAGCCCAGTTCCCCCCTCCCCCTTGGAGGAAGAGTAAGGCTAAGACTGTTCTCAAAGGCTCCACTCAATTTCTTTCTTTTCAGAAACAGTAAGGCTGAAAACATTCTCAAGTATGTTCAACTGTGCACCACCGGGGTGGCTGAAGGGTGTTCACATGTTCGACGTAACTTAGCAATGTCAAACCGCTTCCCAAAGCAGCTGTACCCAAGCGATGCCCCTGCATGTGTGACAGGCCCTGTGCTCCACAGCTCGGACTGCAGTTGAAATTTAAACTCAATTTTTGCAATTAAGATGAAATGATTGTCAGCGTGGTTTTAATTTTTCATTTCCCTAACAGTGAACACGAGCACCTTTTCGTATTTTAAGGGTCACTTCATCTTCTGAGAAATCTGGGTTTTCTTCTGCCTATTTGTCTATATGCAAAATACGTATGCTTACGTCAAAAAGAAAACTAAGTTATAGGCATCTTTATATGTTCTGGACACTGATTCTGTGTTGGTTATAGGTGCTACAACTACTTTCAACTAGTTTGTGGTTTGCCTTTCACCTTCTTTATGCGGTCTTTTGACATAAATCTTATGATAGGCAAAGCTATCTTTTCTAATTTGTGATTTTTGTGTCTATTAAAATAAATGCCCCTTCCCTCCCAAATCAGAAAAACATTTCCCTGTAATGCCTTATTAACCTCATAGTCTTGTCCTTCGCTTTTAGGTCTTCAATCCACCTAGAGTTGGTTTTTGAGTATGACGTGAGCCAAGCCCAGCTTTATTTTCTTCCCATTAGGATAACCAGCTGTCCTGGCCGTTTATATAAACCCCGACTTCCCTCAGCGCTGCAATGTCCGCACTGCCATGAACCAGCGTCTCATCGGCGTGTGGGTCTGTTTCTGAGCTATGTGATGATCCCCGCACCAGTACCACACTAAAATAACCTTTTAAAGTTCAAAGCCTGAAAATATACATTGGTGGGCATATAAATTAGGGCACACTTTCTGGAGTGAAAATTTAGTGGTATGAACCAAACTGAAAGTATACATATTCTTTGTCCGGCAGTTCCACTGATAAAAATGCCCTATGGATATGCTCATTAAGATATATGCACAAAAACACTTACTGCGGGATTGTAACAGAAAAATAAACGCAAGACTAAATGACCACCAACAGGGAATGAGTGGCTTACATTATGGTACATCTGTGCAACGGGACGCCTTGCAGACTTCAAAGTGCATCAAGCTGAGCTCCAAGTGCTGACATAACTTTCTAAGACGCACTGAGTGACAGAAAGCAAGGGCGGCAGAGCACAATGGGATTCTACTTGTGTGGCATTTTAAAAAACACATATTTACATGAGTATATATACATATTTTTTCTAGAATGATACACCCAAGAAACTTTAGTATTCACCTTTTGAGGGAGAAACCAGGGAATAGGTGGACTTCCTTACATACCTTTCCATGAAGTTTAAATTTTTATTAAACATGCCTATATTTAATATAATCTTTAAAAAATTTTAATGCAAAAATAAAGTGATTTAGAAAGGAAAATGGCATCGCTGAAGGAAAAAACATAAGGATAAAGGTATTAAAACATAACAGAGAAAGTCAGGCTTGAACCGTGTCAGAACAAACATTAACCTCTGGAATCATTGACTGGAGTGGCACAGAAGTGGTTCTTAAATTATTTTACCCTGGGTCAGAAGAATTTCCCCATCTGGGACATTTGCAGGTGTAGAAAAAGCACTGAAATCCAATCAGCCTTTGATGTAGCCAAATGTAGTTAAAGCCCAATAAATACTGAACTGACCGAAATTACCTTCTGAGTCATGAGCCCTAAACCACAGGGAAAGCCACTGCCTCTGCCAGGGACCGTGCGCTGTCTTTCAGCTCCAGTCCAGGGAAGGAGCTCCAGAGCCCAGAACAAATATTCTGGTGACGCAGTGAGTCACGCAGAGGCATATCGAGGGAAAGGCCCTTTGCCCATGAAAACGCCAGGAAGCAGACGTGATAGATTGGGAAGAAGTACTGTGGACTAATCAGTGACGTGGAGTCAAATTGTGGTGAAGCTTCTTTAGCCTGTTTCCCCAGGAAGACCTCCAGTCTGAACAGCCTCCAAGTTTTGTTCTTTGAAGACAGCAGGACATTCTGATTGTCTAAGAAGAGAAAACTGGGTACAGAGCTGCAAACAATGGAGCAAACACTATGAGTCCATCCACTGAACAAATAAACAAAGGTACTGAGAATTCTTTTGACCAATGAAGTTGATGGCTCCCACGTTCAAGTGTTTGGAGCTGGAATCTGCTGTCCTAAGTGGTTTCTGGGTAAGTCACAGAACCCTGGCCTATGGGGTTTGGCCATTCAAAAGCAGGTGTCTGCCTGGGTGAGAGATGCTTTTCTTCCTCCACAGGGGAGACTCAGAGGCCAGGGCACAGCAGGGATCTCTGTACCTGCAGAGTAACCACAACTATGAACAGGGACAGTCTCATCCAAACTCCTAGAACTCCTTCTGCCCTTCCCTGCAATATGCACTAATAATAAAGCAACTGGCAGTGATGCGGGGGAAGAGGAAGGAGAGACGAGAACTGTGCCCACCCCAGCAGGCTGTGGGGACGTGATCATCCGCTATACAAACCACAGTGCACGGAACTTGAGCTCAAGCTGTCCGTCACACCACCCAAACCCATCAGAGCACGCCAGCCACACAGCCCACAGCGGAGGATGCACATCTGCAGAACAGGCCAGGCGACACCTACCAAGCACAAAGGCCCAACACAAACCTGCCTTCTGTGGGATTTCTACAGCCAGCAGTTAGCTCTACAACTCCTCTCTCCTTGGAGGGCTCTCTGCACCCATGGATGGCCCTTCACTTCGAGCATACCATGTCTTACATAGTATTAGCTTCTGGGTTCATCTTCCCAACCAGTAACAGACTAACTCCCTAACCTTACAATTCACCATTTCCCTCAGCTCTCCTGACACTTAACATTTGGCTCTACATTGTAGCCGACGGATAGGTTTCCGCGGATGGTCACAGACATAAATGTGGAATGCTGTATTCATTTCCTTCAAAAATCCAAAGTTAAAACAAAACAAAAAAACGAAATGGGAAAGCATTAAGCAGGAAAATAAATCCAGAGAGGGCAGTACTCATATACTTTAAAAGCAAACAAATGTATAAAAGAAAGAAAGAAAAAAGAAATGCTATTTCATTCATTTACATTTTTATTTTGAATAGCTTCACTGAAAAACAGATTTCATAAGGTTATTTACAGCGCTGAATGTACGATTACGAATGTGTGCCTTTTTGACACCAGGGTACCATTCTTGAGCAGCAATACAATTGTAAAAATATAAAGATGCAGTATCATTTCTGATATAAAGTTTCTTAAAAAAATTCCAAAGTCTTGGGGAATTAACAAATCATAACAGGAAGTTAACTATTTTATTAATTTAATGTGCACATAATTACCAAATTTAATACATTAAAAATATGTGTAAATACCCACAGACTGTACAAAAATTAACACCCCGTATTTTGTTAAAAGTTCCCAACCACCTCCCACCATAAATATACAAAAACCTATTCTCAGATATGTCAAAATTACATGCAAGGAATCTTAGAATGTTTTCTAAAGCTTGAATTTTGCTCTTCTTTGAATAGTGTATGTATAACTGTTTTGGAAACAGAATATATAAACACTGATATTTTACCATGCCTTTGAAACTGTGCAGCATTTTCATAAACAGGGAGGAAAAAAATAAATAGAGTAAAAACTGCAACAGTTTTGTTTAAATGCAAGTGCAATTTGGAAAGCTTTTGAATGCAAGGATTATAAAACTAATATAAAAAGTATTTATTTTGTTGTTGGCTTAGCCACTTTTATTCAAGCATTATTTGCAGCATTGCTTTACAGCAGTTGGTGCTAGAAGATATAAAACATAGTTACCACTATTTATATCTGAGGGAGGAAAAAAAACCAAAAACTTTAAACAACCCTGAGGGAGACACACATTAAAAATCTTGTTATTTATTTTAAAAGTTAAAAAGTTACATATCATTATTTAACAATTACTTTCCTGGACATTTCTGTCCTTAAGTATGTGCATAAATAAAATTTAAATCGTCAATATTTATTAATCTTAATACACCAAAATAATATATGTACAGATTTTAAAATTTAGGTCTGTATACACTCAAATAATTTAATGTGAAATTCAGAATCAAAATTACTATGTAATAGTGACCTACAGAGAGGACTCTATCTATGGCACTGAATAGGACCCACACCTGTATTCACAGACAGTCTTCAAATAATATTCTGGAAGCCATCAATTACAACATGAACAACCCACTTAGTCTACGTTCAAATCTAATTTCCTACAAATGCTTTTCCATCTACCTAAAAATCTTATTTCCTTTGCAAACAATATGGACAGATGAGATATAAAACCCTTATAAAATCTAAATGTTAAAAAAAGGGAGGGTGTAAAAAATATAGCTCTTTATGATCATGCTCTTAAAGATGTTAAATACAATCTGATAATTGGGTTTTTAAGCTGCTACTTAGCAATTACCTTAATTATATGCTTCAGCATTTAAATCAAATAATAAGATTTACAATTCTGGGATATCACTGAAGAATAACACTTGTACATGTTGGAAATAAATGTGGAAATTATAAGCAATAAGCAATCAAAAGAATTAGTAACTATAGAAAACAGTGCTAATTCACAGCTCAAGAGGTCTAAGATGCATAGCTTCATAGAATCATTCATGGAACAATTGTTCTTATCATCTAATGTGTATTAATATCACATGATGTTTTTAATGGAAAGCTTCTATTATATTTTTTGTGAAAATCATCAGTGGCAATAGCAATGACAGTGATCCTGAGTGTAACCTACATTTCCTATAGTTACCAAACATCATTCATGTCTCTGCAACACAAAAAATGAGAACATTTGATTCTACAGTTCTGGGTAACATATGGTAAATGGTAAGTATAGATCAGGGAAATAATGACCAGCTAGACGTGAAGAGCACACGCATGCTACTGACTAAGGAAGGACACAGGGTAATGTCACATAATTTTAGTAGCTTAGTGTCCATATTACAGCAGTACTAGTTTCCTTGTTTATCATAACTGTGGGCTTTGTCAAACTGCTGGATCTTACCTATAAAGGTATTTTTAAAGTTACTTTTATTTTGTTTAGAATTTAAATGTTAACTAGGAAAAATAAGGTAAGAAGTATTACCCACATTTCTTTTGGTTCAAACAATGTCTATTTTTTAACTTTATTTCCATTTTTCTTTTCTCCCAGAAAGTTTCACAACCAAAATATGTTTATTTGTAAACATCCAAAATAGGTAAGCTCTGACCTCTGGCGCCACCTAATGGCATAAAACAAACTCTCGCCAAGTTCATACTGCTTTGAAAAAAATAGCAGTGGTTCAAAACCATGCATTTTTTAAGCCTTATTATTGATAGGATGGACATAGAGCAAATCTTAAAAATTTCAAAAGGCAAAAATCTAACTCAAAAAACTCAAAGAAAAAACCCCAGCAAAAAACTATTATCCAATGTCTTTAGGAAATTAAAAAAGTAGGAAATAAAAGACATTAAAAATAACATAAAACAGGAGAAAAGGAGGTATGACGAGATGTCAGAAAGGCAGAGCCACATCTGTTACCAAGAGGAGTAGCCTCTTGTCCTGGTGAAAAAGGTCTGCGACGGTTAACTGCAGATACTGTGGACGCCGGACAACAGGGCACAGCTAACAGTGGGAGGACATCTCAGGAAGGCAGTGAGGCACCTTGCGGATCAGAAAAATAAAACCCAGGCAGTTTGTACAGAAAATATAAAACCATAAGTGGAAATTACCTGAGTTGTTCTATGAGCAACACCATAAAACCCACTCCTAACTCAGCTATCACAGGAATTGG